TATAGGGGCCTGGATAGTTACCTATACTAGTTCGGGGGATTCCTTATTATGGTTATAGTACAATATACCCCAAAATCCTTTTGTAATTTTCAAGATTTCGGCACCCCGGGGCCCCGGGATGCCAGAAACTCCCGAGCTCTAGGGGTTTGGGCTTTAAAAGTTTAGGGCTCGGGGTTCAGGGTTTAGGGTTTAGGGTTTGGGGTTTAGGGTTTAGGGTTTAGGGTTTAGGGAGGGGGGCAGGGGCGAATTGCGTTTTTTGAATGGGGGTGTTAGGGTCTAAGAGTTTATTGGTTCGGGGTCGAGGCCTTCTTTTGAGGCAGCATATGCTTAGCCCCCCCCCCCCTCCCTCCCCCATATTTTACTGCCGTGCTATGAATATGGGAGTTTCGGAAAATTGGGGTACCTGATTTTGGGGTCCTTGCAATAAGGATCCTACTATTTAGGGTGCTATATCAGGGTCCCCTATTTTCGGAAACCACCATATGGTTTCTACCACGTAATTCAAAAGCAGGACAAGGCATCCAGAAGAAAGACCTACAATTGATGATGGGAATCCGGGAGTGTTCGAACTATTAACCCTGAGCATCAAAGTAGCCCAAAAGCCGTATATAATAGGGTCTTCGGGCCCAAACTCTTAAAAAATGAGTCCTTTGAGGGTAAAGGGCAAGTGAGGCAACAAACCGAAGGTTGCAACTACGCAAATTAAAGATACCTGTTGGCTTACCAGTTTCATGCGCGACGTTTTGGGCAACAAACATGTTTCCCCAGTTTGGTTAGTGTTCCAAAAACGAGAATCCCTAAACCCTAAAAACCCTAAACCCTAAACCCTAAACCCTAAACCCTAAACCCTAAACCCTAAACCCTAAAAACCCTAAACCCTGAGCCCCTAAGCCCTAAACCCTGAGAGCCCCTAAACCCCCTAAACTCTAAACCCCAAACCTTAAACCTTTAGCCAAGGTGTCTCTGGGTATGTTTAACCTTCTATTTCGTGGCCTCGAGGGTTTAGGGTCTAGGGTCGAGAGGGTCCAGAAATACTTCCATTGTGATTTTGGGTCCCGGACCACTATCCCTACTATGGTTTTGGGCACCTTAGCTCCATAAGAGTAGTATATAAACACTTAACCCTGAACCCCTAAACCCCTACACCCTAAACCCTGACCCCCTAGACCCCTACACCCTAAACCCTGACCCCCTAAACCCCTAAACCCTAAACCCTCAGTACGTAGCGACCCTCCAGGTTATGCTTGTCGGACTGCGGAGAGCCTTAGACCTTCGAAATCCCTCCGAAGTCCTTTAAGGGGGTTCCTTTAAAGGGTTCCATAAGCGTACACAGCACCTAGAGAGTTTAGGGTATCCTTTAGGGGTTAGGTTGTTTTAGGGTTTGGGGTGTAGGGGGTTTAGGTTTTTTATGGTTTAGCGGGAGCTTGAGAACATGGGGAGCCCAGAAAACCTTTAGCCCTAAACCTTAAACCCTGAAGGAGCGGCATTCGCAGCTACTCTTGTTATACTATACCCAACCCTAAACCCTGCAAGCTTCAGCATCGGAGCCTTAAGGATTGATTGTGATAGGAACCTTGCGCTATTCTCGCTATTCTGGTTGCTGTGTCGTATTAAATCCTGATACAAACGAACCCTAAGCCCTAACCCCTACAGCCTAAAGCCCTAAACCCTGTACTACCCTTGGCCTTTAACGAACCCTTAAAGGAACCCTCCTAGCAGCCTTAGAAGAACCCTTAAACGAACCCTTCTTATACCAAAAGTTGGAAACCCAATAGCCTCAATCCTTAAGAGTAATGTATAGGGAATCCCAGCACTAATTGTCCTAAACCCTAAGCCCAACTTTCTGGAGTTGATTATGATATTACCTATACTATTTTGAAGTTCCTGATTATCATTATAGTATCATGGGCCCCAAAACCCTATTCTTTTTAATTGTTACGGCCGATCGAACCCTAAACCCTTATAGCAGCCCTTACAGAGCCCTTTAAAGGAACCCTTTAAAGGAACCCCAAAGCCCTATTCTACTTATCAAGGCCCCTACAGTCGTGTCTTTCTGCTCCTACCCTAAACCCAAAACCCTAAACACCAAACCCTAAACCGTAAACCCTTAACCCCAAACCCTAAGCCCTAAACCCTAAACCCGAAACCCTAAACCCTAAACCCTAAATGCTCAACCCTAAACAATAGCCGCCGGTGTCCGGAGGAGCCGGGCTCTCCGGCGCCAACACTTCACGTCGCCCGATGTAGCGCTAAGGGTTTAGGGATAAAGGCTGGGGATAAGGGACTTAAGGGTTGACAGTTTAGGGTTTAGGGTTTAGGGATAAAGGCGGGGACAAGGGTTTAGGGTTGAGGGTTTAGGGTTGAGGGTTTAAAATGGGACACCGGTCCGGGCCTGTCAGGCAGCAGAGCCGAAGACAAAGTGCTGGAAGCGCTCTTGACTAAGGTACCTCCTACAAGATCATCTGTGGTGATCGCCTGCTGAAGGGCAACGAGCGCGTCTCGACCCTGCAGCAGGGCATCATGCTGATCAGGCTGCCGCAGTCCAAATCAAAGGCCTCGGATTGCAAGATGCGGCGACTGCAGGATCGCCGCCACAAACGCGTCCAGCCACAGCGAGGAGGACATGGAAGGGCTGGTTCAGCACGCTGGCATCCCACCAAGCGAGTCGCAGCAGCCGGCACCAAGTCTGAACCCAGATCAACCAGCTACTCGACAACCCATAGCCGGACGCGCCACACGCTCAGCCCACAGCAGCCAAGCGAAACAGCCGAAGCTCGTAGCAACCAACATTCACAGTAGCCATAATGCGAGCTGCCACTCACCCACCGAGGTTCGCAGCCACAACCCCTCAAAGAGATGGTGGGAAGGACCAGCTGCCGGCGAAGCGTTGTCCGCACCCGGAAAAAAAGAGGGAGAGTGGTCAGGGCGAGCCGCCATGATTAAGCGCACATGAAAACGTCACGCTGAAACTAAGCCAAGTAAGAGCCAGAACCCAGGGTTCCAGGACAGTCTAAGTTCGTTAACATGGTAGTCGGTGGCGTTCAAAAACCCCTTGGGAGGGAACAGCTTCAGTGCCTTTCTAAGGAAAGGTCGAGTTGTCAGAGCAACTCGCAAGTCTGGAGCCAAGCCCTTTAGGCTCTGAGCGTCAGGGGAAAAACAGCAAAAGAAAGAACAAAAAGGAAAGAAGTGGAGGAAAGAAGAAGCTGGCATCTGACCGTACGACCAATGAGAAGCATCTCCAAAGGAAAAAGACTTGAAGTTTGAAGCAGGAGCGCCAGCCCCATAAGCGAAAACTTTAAGATTCCGGAGAAGGAATCTGGCTGAGCTAACGCAACATGTGAAGCGTTGCTAAGAAGCGACGGGTTCAGACGAGAGAGTGAGAGCCCCAAAACCGAGAAGCTCAAGAAATCCGAGTAAGAAGTTCAGCTAACAGGGCACTGCTGTGCCCGCGCCTGCATGGCAAGACCTCGCATCAGCCCAGAAAGACAAAACAAAACAGACCGGCAAAGCGACGCATCGGCAAGTCGCACCGACCAAAATCAAGAAGGTCACACGAAAAAGAAAAAATAATCACCTCGCTTTCCCGTGCCTGTTGCACAACCTTTGGTCTTTACCCCCACAAAACAGTTCACTCCGATGGTAGACGGCACGGGCCTCGAGTACTACCATCAACACAAAAGGGGTAAGACTGGTTCTGCAATAGTGAGGGCTAGGTGTAGGGAGAGAACTCCATGTACGTCCGTTTGTAGCCTGCCTGTTCCAGCGAGACTGTTCATGCAGCAAGACCTTCACATGAGCACGAGGCTCTGCACAGACACGGACACCACCAAACATGATGCGAGACATGTCACTCAGATGCAGAACGATGCCAGGAATGTCTGTAAGTAATGACTACCTAAAACCAGGTTAACCGCTCAGCAGAAGTCGAGCCAGAGTGTAGCTCCAAGCCTCTCACGCCGAAGCATCTAGATGGCGCCACCCTTAGCTTAGATCAGCAGCCAGCATGTGCCGTCTAAAGCCTGTAACCAAAGCGCCGGCCGAGGTCGTGGAGAAGAGGAAGCGCGTCGCAGAAGCGCCGATTCCCAGGAAACGACGGCGACGTCAGCACTCCCACATCCAGCAGCCAAAGACCCAAATTGGCAGGCGCACCACGAAGGTCAAGATTTACCTGGGCCTGAACGGCGACTTCGTGGAGGTTCAGGCTGAGCCCAGGCCGTTCTGCTGTCACCAACGTCCAGGTAGACCCCACCGAGACGGTGCACACCATCGTCGGGGAATATGCCGAAGACCACTGGCGCCCCAAACCTACACTCGAACGAACCAGCGACAGTAGCGCCCCCCACCCCTGCGAACTCAGGACGGCTCCGTGAAGACCTCGAGCTAGTGGTCACGGACAAAAAGAGCGGCGAGGTGCTAAAACCCAGGGAGCCCATCGGGCCATCCTGCCGCGCTTGCATAGTTGTGGTTCCGACAGCATCGTAGAAACGCAAACAAAACCCGTCTCTAGATGCCGGACCAGGAAGCACCCGGAAACGCAATTGATACTCGTCCGCGACCACTCGGGAAGTGACCCTGAGCAGCAGCCCCGGGTGCACTACACGAGCCTTGCTGAATACCGATTTGCAGTCTCCCCGCTCAGGTGGTTTTCTCCGACAGAATCCAGCGAGGAATCAGAGTCGCGCCCTCAGCAAGAGACCTAGCTTGTGGACCGAACGGCGGAAGCAGACATGGTCCGGATAAGGTTGGAAGCATCCGTCCGTCCCTCAGATTGTACACGGCATCCAGCCCGAACAACCTGATGTAACCCTGACAGGACAGGA